GTATCAGAGAAGAGCGGATTTGGTGGATCATCTGAGCAAATCGGATGATTTGGACTTACAGCCAGATATTGCTCGTCTTCTCTGGTTATGGATGCATCATAACCCCAACTCGGCCCCAATGCCGACACTCACAAAGGTCCCCACGACAGGTGCAGCTGTGACGGCAACATACCCTATGCCTAGCACCACTACTGCTACGGGCCTTCATTTTGGAGGGATTAAGCGAACAGATAAGTCAGATCAGACGAAAGAAGATGAGCAAATTTGCCGGAATTTGGCAGGGTCAAAGGGCTTAGTTTGCCTTGGGACTGAGTCCTGCTTGGTAGAAGATGTGACTTTGGAAGTGGCAAATAAGACTCTGGTATTCCCTGAGACGTCGATACACACCTTCAGAGAGGTAGATACAAAGACATGGCAAAATGAGCCTTTGCCACCGCCTCTTATCCCACGTCGACATAGCGACCAAACAAGGGCGTCTGATAAACTGGAGGCAGAAATAGGAGTATGTAATATAACTTAATATACTTTTATTCTTATTCTATTCATAAGGTTATAGCGAGTTTTACAAGAAGCAGCAGTCTGCTTCTACGCTACGAAAATGATTTGATTTATGAAAACTCTCTTGGACACATCTTAAATTAATAATTTCTATTTTCTATAAAGGGTGTCCTGCCAGCTTGGCAATTAAAGGTTTGTTCTCCAGAATCAATCAACCTGTAATCTTCCTAGTCCCAAATGTTGCAAGTGAATAGAAAGCTTCATTACGTTAATGAATTACAATTAGCCCTGCTTCCTTGCCTGTAGAAGGCAAAGTAATGTAAAAATGCGATGGCCTTTTGTGGCCTTCTGTTCATTGCCATTATGGAGCCTCTATTTACAGGATTTTCCTGGCTTTCTGCTACCTGAGCTTAAAGATCTACAGATGTTTTCTAATCACATTGTGTCGACATTTTTATCCTAAAAAACATCACGAAATTCTACTTCCCTATTCTAGACAGCGATAGACTTAAGCCGAAAAAGTCCTCCTTAAATGCATTTAAGAGAAGGTTTGAGCCTTGAAGGTATCGAGTTTAACAGCAGACCCTCCGTTGTATATCGATACATTAAGTCCATACTGTAGAGATTACACTATGGTGCAATATTTTTTAAGTTTGTTCAAAATACTTGTGGAAAATTCGCTTTTTACGGAGTTATATTCCAACTTGTCCAGCGAAGAGGATAACAACATAGACAAAAGAGTGGATATAATGTTAGACCATATTATAATGAAGCAGAGCCAAGCGCGGTTCATTTGAGACGTGATCATATGGCTTCCATTTGGTTTCCATTTTTGAGATTCCTTATATTGTGGATCCAAGTATCTAAAGGATGATATTCTGCATAAGAAAGTCCCAGGCTGGATATGAGTCTGAGATCTTGTGGAGCCTTAAAAGGTGCTATAGTGACCTCAGCAACAAAGTTAATTACTCTTTGCAGACGTTTTCTAAAATTTGTAAATCGGAGAGATGGGGGATGAGCATGTAATTGCTGGAACTCTCAACAATCCACTGCGCTCAGACACGACCCAGCTGCAAACAATATTTGCAAGTATTAAGA